AACAGATTTAAATTTAAAAGGCTGGAAATCATATAATTCATTCCCTTCCACTCAACTGTAATTACTACCTGACTCCAGCCTGCCAGCCTGATGCCTAGAAACTGCCCGTCGACAGCAGCCAGGGCTTCACCTCATAAGTAAGGTGTGTGTGCTCATTAATTAACTTTGAAAACGTTTCTTCTGCAGCCTCAAGAGAACCAAACTCCAGGGTAGGAGAGCATACTTAAGGGGCAGTTAGTGTGGAAGATGTCCTAGGGTATGGCGCTTCTAGAGTTGAGGACGCTGGGATCATATCCCAGTGTTCGCATCCTAGATCCCAGTTGTGTGACCATGGACAAAGCCCTACACCTCTCTGAGCCTCAGTTTCTTCAGAGTAAAGTGAGGTCAACTGTCCCTGCCTCTCCGGGTTGGTGTGGGGGTTTACAGAGATAAGCCATGTGAAACACTTAGCCTAATGCTCGGCACACCCTAAGCACCCACTCACAGGAATTAAGACCATGATTCAGAAAACACCTTGAGGAGAAAAGAAAACTTCCCACACTGCTTCCCTTGTGTCTAGCAAAAGGGCATATGCCTGCTTTGCTCCTCCCCGCATGGCTAATGCTTAGAGACAAAATGTTCTCCCTGAACAACACATCGTCATCACCAACTTCTTTTCTATGATGTTTCTTGAACAAAGAAAATGGAAAAGTGGGTCTCTCATCAGGAGTTGGCTCCAATGACGCTAACAGAAAAATTCAGGCTTGGGAGCAATTAGGAAGAGAGGAGGCAAACTCTTGAAATGACTTTTAAAACTTTCTAGTAGCCCAAATCCAAGGATTCCTTCCACATACCTGTCCCCAATTACCATCCCGCCTATAAAATGGGGCTAAGGATACTGCTAGGATTTAAAGCGACTAAGTGAATGAAAAATCAAGCACTGGATTGCTGAGTTGTATATCAATGCAAAATAAATGGAAATAATAGATTCTAAGGAGACCAACTAAAACACTAGTGCAAGCCAGTGGCAACCTGCCTGGAGAATTCCTGGAGACTTCAGAATGTCCAGATGCAAAAAGCAGGGAATAATGAGAGCTGAGCAGTCAGGAGCCAGAAGCCTTCATGTTTAAATGAAGTAGACTTATCACTGTCAAAAGCCAGTATACACAAGAATCCCCTGAAGAGCTCTCAGAAAATGCAGGCCCCTTGGCTTTCCCTTCAGTGATTCTGATACAGGAGGCCTGATGTGGGGCCCAGGAGTCTGAATTCTAAGAAGCATCTAGGCATTGCTGTGCAGCTGGTCCAGGTCTACACTTTCACAAACACCAACAGCCTTTTCCACAATGTCCTACCAGTTGCTTCCTTTGTGCATAAGAACACTTTTCCTTAGGCAAGAGATTAAAAAAGAAGAAACAGAACTTTAATCCTTAAGCTTGGTAAACTTTCAAGGTAATTAAAAGAGACTGGTTACTTGCTGGAAAACAAAGTATTCATACATCCATACACCACGGATTGGGTAAAACATCAATCACGTTCAGGTGATTTAACATTTCTCTGAGATGGAAGAAATTCAATGACTGAGTGAAAGGCATCAGGCAAACTCTCTATCACCTGGAGTTAGCAGCTACAATAATATTCCAGCCACCCATTTTGAAAAGGAAGCTTGGAGGAAGAACACACAGGACCACTATCTTCAGGAATGCATTCCAGGAAGGGTTAAATAAATCACATCAGAATATAGCTTATTACCACTCCACATAAACCCAGAAAGGGGTTGGGGTCCAAGGTGATCTAATATTTTCATAAATAACTCGAAAGATGGAGTGGGAATTATGCAAATCACACCATAGATGACACAAAAATGGCAGGGATGGCAAATCTGTGGAGAATGAAATTTAACTACTGGGCAATGTCTTTAAATTTGCCTTTATTGAATCTTGTATATTGAAGTCACATATTATTGGATCTGTTTATTGAGACTCAATGGGACCAAATGCAGGTGATTTATGGAAGAAGGAATAATCAAATGCATAAGTAGAAAAGAGCATGCACCTGGAGAGGCATCGACACCGGGGCTGGGACGGGCTCCGACTGGTAAGTTGATGAGAGGGGTGGACAGGGCATAAATAAGGAAATACGTCTGTTGCTCTTTGAGCCACCTGGACTTGACGCTGCTTCCTAGGAGTGTCATGCTTAAGTGTAGACCTGGAAGGGAATTCCGAGCAGGGTGCCACAGAGACTATGGGGTGGGGTCCTAAGTCAACCAAGAACGTACGGGATGTTCAGAAGGTCTCCCAAATGGACAAAGCCCTAATGTGCCTATTCGTTGGGGAAAGATGCGCAAACGACAAGGGGACCCGTAGGAGAGAAAATTTTCAGCTCCTATTAAGGAAAAACAGTCATTCGAAGCACAGCTGGCATCTTGGAAGAAAGGGCAGCTTATGGTAACACCATCCCTGGGGACCCCTCGAGGAGGTGGCCAGACACCTCTCTACTTAGAATGCATTAGAGATTATTAAAAGCACTCCTTGCCCAGTTTGGGGGTGGGGGGGTGGGCCTCGTGACCTCTCCAAAGGTCATTTCTATCCCAAAGGATCACATGTCTGAAGGGCACCAGATAAAAATAAAGTCTATTAATCACCGAGCTGCCACACAATTTCCTAAGAGAGCCAGAACAGAGAAGGGCAATCGACGGTGGCCCCTGCTCCACCGAGAGAGGGACAGGAGGCAGCACGCATGCGGACAGAGCCAAGAAAGTAGCCACTGAGACTTCCAGAAAGCCTGCCATCAGGCCTCCCAGGCACTACAGGACACACAGAAGGCGGGAGAGAGCCTGCGGGGAGGGCATCAGGAGAAGCCAACGGCACTGAGACCCCCGAAACGAAGCCACGGGGGCTCAAGAGAGAGCGCGTGATGCAAGCACTTTGCAGAAGAGGGGTGCCCGGTAAGAGAGGGACGCCCCCAAAGGGCACTTCATGGAGATGATCCACAAGGAAGCAGAAGTCAGAGGCAAAGGTGGGAGGAGAGGAACTGGGAGGGGGTGAAGTCGGAGAAAAGGGCATACAGGTGTGTGTGTCTGGGAGTCCATGGGATTATGATTGGCTGGGAATCCAGTGAAAGCTGTAGAGATAGAGCAAAAAGGGATCCCACTGTCTATGGTAGCAGACAATCACATATGAAGATAAAGCATTTTAAAAGAGGAACAAAGGGCTGGGCGTAGTGGCTCACACCTGTAATCCCAGCACTTTGGGAGGCCAACGCAGGGGGATCGCTTGAAACCAGGAGTTCAAGACCAGCCTAGGCAAGACCCCATCTCTACAGAAAATTTTTAAAACTTAGCCAAGCATAGCGGCACTGGCCTGTAGTCCTAGCTATTGGGTATGCTGAGGCAGGAGGATGGCTCGAGTCCAGGAGGTCAAGGCTGTAGTGAGCTCTAATCCTATGACTGCAGCCCTGTACTCCAGCCTGGGTGACAAAGCGAGAGCCTCTCTAAAACAAATAAATAAAAGAAGAATACAGTAGCAATGCCCCAGTTCCAAAGCAGTTGTTGGCATTCTTGATAGATGTGCTGGTCAAGCCAAACACAGCTGGAAAGCCCAAGGGGGTCTGAGGGCCCTTCCCAGCCCATGGCCTAGAGCCAGTCTCTCAAGGGTCAGCAGGCTTGGGCTTCTACGTATCAGAGCGAAACTGAACGCCATGTAGGAAGCAAGACCCAGGCCAAGGTAGGCACTTCCTGGTGCTGCCAAAAGGCATCAGACCCCGTGCACTGCTCCCTCCTCATCCTGGATTGGAATTGGTTTGGGGTGGAGACATTACCTGCAGGAGTTGTCTCGAGAATGGCATCTGCACGGAGTATTAAGCAGCCAAATGGGGGTCATGGAGTTTGAGTTCTTCTAGCAAAATGTTCTCCAATCAGCTGTCACCCCATCGGACACAGAACAACTTTTTGAAATCAAAAGAGGCCACTGAAGGGGGAGACAAAAGACACCACTCCCAGCCCGCTCCCTGGGCGCCCCCCCGGCCTGGCTACCTCCCTGCCTTCAGGGAGACTGCAGACCCCAGCGAGATGGGTGGGACACCCAGAGGGAGCCCCAGGCCAGGGTCCAGCCTCGACTGTTTCACTGCCATCCTCACTGCAGCCCCTTCCCTCCTATGGCGAAGCTCTGCATCCTCAGAGAGGAGAAGATGGCAAGCGAAGACCATTAGGAGTGTGGTGGTGAGGGCTGCCCTCCCATGGAATGAGCAAATGGTACCCGGTACCATGAGAAGATGACTAGGGCACAGGTTTTCAATCTGCCACTCGGTGCTCTGCTGTCTGGAGCTGACCACATCCCTCCTCAAGCTGCAGGTTTCCAGAGGTCCACCCACTGCCCTGGCTCCCTGCAACTCGCCTCCTGTGGGCTCCCTAGCTCTGTCTGCAGACCCTAAACTCAGGAGTCAGCCAGGGAGTCGCTTGTCCAAAAGATGTTTCTGAAGCAAGCAAGAAAGACTGGAGATGGATCGAGGGCCATTTATTAAAGTAAGTCATCATCATAGAAAGATTCATAACTTGCCCTACCTAGGACATGAGAGAAAGAGGGAAAGGAAATTAAAGGGAAACAAATGAAAAGCCACGACGAGCCAAGTACCTTTGTCGGAGGGTTTTGAGTTATGCTTTTGTTTGTAACTCTCTGAAATACAGAAAGAAATAGAGGATGAATCTTAAAGGAGACAGAGAGCGTGAGAGAGAGAGCCAGAGGAGAGCCACGCAGGAGGCATGGCAGGAGGTGGGGGTACAGAACTGAGGGTGGGGGCCACCCCAGCTGGCTTCCCCTCTGCAGAAACCACCCCCCGCCGGGGCAGCAGCAGCCCAAGGAAGTGGTGACTGCGGTGGAGGTGACAGGCGGGTAAGCTGGGGTGCAGACAGAGAGGAAGAGGCGAGCACACGCTGAGGCTGGCAGGTGGATAGCCAAAGAAGCACAGGGAAGGGGGGCCCGGGGGTCAGGGGCAGAAGAAGGAAGGTGGGACTGGCCCATACTTACTGTCACAGACGTAAGGTTTGTCGTGATCTTCCTGAGAGGCGGCGTCGTGCCTCCTCCTGCCCCCCGCAGAGCCACGAGCCTGGGGAAACATTGGGGTATGGGATGCTTGTTACCACAATCATCACTACGGCTCTGGAGCATGCGCTCTGCAAGCTCCTTACACCATCTTCATCCCAACTTTTGTGCCAACACCAGTCCCATCTTACAGGGGAGGAAACTGAGGCCCAGAGAGGTCAGGCGACGCGTGCCCCAAATCACTCAGTTGCTCACCTGTATCATCTCATTAAATCTTCACAATTCCAAGAGGTGGTTTCTACTAGGATTGCCATTTTACAGATCAAAGGACTGAAGTGATAGAGAGGTTAAGTAACTTGCCCAAGGTCATTCGGCTACTCGGGGCAGCCATACTGAAAAGCCCTCCTCTACCAAATTCCCACACACTACTGTGCCACTGAGGCCGCTTCCTCCAGCTCCTTAGCCCCTAGCCTCACTGACACTGCTGAGGATGACAACCTCAGGCCCCTTGGCTGACCAGCTGATGCGTGTATCAGGAGCAAGGCCTGACGGGGGCAAGGAGGCATAACTGTAGTTGTCTTCCTAGGTTCCTATGTCCATCCCCCCAGTGTCCCAAGAGCCAGACAGTCCTGAAATCCAGGCCCAATACACTAGTGTAGATACGGGGGAGCTCCTGCCACCACCCCAGGCTTGGCCTACTCAGTAGGGGTGGGCTTTGGCTAATGCCTCCCTGTGTGGTCTGCCTTCGGCCTCCAGCCAGTGATGAAGACCTTGACCCTCATGGTCTCCTGGGCTGGACTTCTGATACCACCACCCTGTGTGAATCTCCCAGACAGGGGCCGCATGACCCGGGGTGGCGGTGGAATGAGCTCTACCTTCAAGAATCAAAGAGCCCAGTCAGAGAGGTTGCTGGCGGCTCTGCAGCACCAGGGCGGTGGTGACAAGAACACGGCGAGGTTTATTTTTAAACCCTTGTAAGTCCCACACTGGTCACGTGTGTCATTCTTTGGTAATGAGTAGCAGTCAACTCCCAACCAAGGAAAGGGCCTGTGGGGGTCTTTGGGGACAGAGAGGAAGGGGCAGCAGGTGAGGAATGAGACCTGGCAGCAGCCTGGGGTCCAGGGGAAATGGGGCAGCCCCTGGGGCATGGCTTGGAAAAGTGGCCGTGGGGACTTGGTGGTTGAAAGGCCTGGGATACTCTCACACACACGCTCACACTCTGTGCACACACACTCCATGCACACACTCACTGGGGACTTCACAGTGGAAAGGCCTGTACCCTAGGCCTGCAACACACACACTCAGAAAACACACCCACTTCCCAATCAACACCACCTGCCAAGCTACCACCTCTGTCACCTCCTCAGCTTGTCTCTCTCCAAAACAAATTCCACTTCCTCCCTCCCTCCCACCGGTTTCCCTCCCCACCTCACCCCTGCAGCGCTGACAGCCAGCAGCCCTCCTCCCCTCGCCCTCATTACTCAGAGTTGACCCCAAGAGGGATCTGTAGGCGCTGGCAGTCACCCCGGGCACTGACAGGCCTCCTGCCTGCCCGCACTGCCAAGGGTGGTCACCCTCAGCTGCCCTCCCCCTCCACACCCCTCTGGGAAGCCAGGGACAGCTTGACATGCAGCCCGCAGCCCTGTCACAGCCGCCTCTGAGCAGGTGAAAGCAAGTCAAGCAGAATGACGAGGCAACAGCAGACTGGGGAAGGGGCTCTGGGAGACTAAAAATACCTCCGGGGGAAGGGGAGGAGTCGAGCAGAACTGGAAGCATGAGGGCTTCTGGGGGAGCTGCCAGCAGGAAAGGGAGGGTGCTGTGGGAGCCAGGTTTTCATCTCCTGCAGCAGGGCTGACCAGCAGAGTGACTGTGTGTGCCACACTCCCTTTGCCTCAGTTTCCTCAATGGCTAAATGGGGATCGTGTCTATAGGGCACTTCAGGGAACATGCAAGGGACTCTTTCTGAAGCAGTAGGGTCTCTCAGAAGATCTCAGGTTTGGAAACTCAGAATCCCACTTGCCCTGCTCAAATGTCACCTCCTCAGAGAAGCCCTCCCTGACCAACTTACATCCACTCACACCCTCTCTATCGTTTTCTTTCCCCTCCCGTTTCATCATGGCACTGAGCGCTGACATTAGATTATACCTGTGTTGGTTTACAAGTTGATTTTGTCTCCCCTACATGGAGAGACAAACATGGTGAAGACCATGTTTATTGGGGCCACCACTATTCTCAGAACCTGGCACAGGGCTAGCCACATAAGAAGCACTTAATAAACATTTGCCAAATAAATGAATCAATCAGGCAGGCAGTGAGTCAGTCACTTCTGGTTCTTCTTCTTCATTTTCTGTATCCAAATGCTATTGTTTCTTCCTTCAAAGGCCATCTAGGCTTTGCATTTCCTTTCCATTGCACACCCTAATCCAGGAGCTCATCAACTGACCCCTGAGTGGGTTCAAAGAACCCACTCAAGGCGATCTACCTCCACATTGCCCCCTAGTCCACCCTAAAGGGGGATCTACCTCCACACTGCCCCCCTAGTCCATCCCACAGGACTTTCAGACCATTAGACAAAAGGATGAAAGACAGGAGCCCATGGTTATAGGTTCATGCATTCACACGTTCATTCAGTCATTGCCATCTACAATCCACTTACACAGCCAGTGGCAACCTAGTGCTGATCCCCTCGGGTTCAGCCCATGATCACGCTCTCCTCTGCCCATGCACACCTGATCCATGATCATGCTCTCCTCTGCCCATGCACACCTGATCCAGGCTATGCCCTTGCTAACCTCCACTCCTCCAAGAATCTTCCTCCTACCACAGTAAGGAGTGAGAAGAGCATCCGCTTAAAGTCAGATAAGACACAGGTTGAAACACCAGCTATATGTCTTGGGCAAGTTACTTCTCTAAGCTTTAGTTTTCTCAACTGTAAAATGAGCACACCAACACCTATACAGCAGAGCTGTTGAGAGAGTTTGAGCTGAGAGTGTGTGAAACCACAGGGGACAGCACTAAGTCCGCAGGAAGCACTCAACACATTATTCCCCCCTCCTTGCCTAGGCTGATCTCTCTCCTCTGAACTCCTGCTGCCTTTGGTTAGTGCACAGTCATGTACCTGCTGTTTCTAATGGTATCATGGGTATTAGCATCTTCTTCCTAGTTTGATTCAAAGGTCCTTGGGGGCAAAATGGCATGCTATACTTTATTATGACCCCCTAACACTTAGCACATAGCATGCAAAGCTCTTTTGCATATAGTAGCTCAGTTAATTCCTACAATACCCCTATGAGTTAGACCAAGTAGTGTTATGATTCCTATCTGGCCCTTGATGAAGCAGGTTCTGACCTGTCCACAATCCCAGGGCCAGCAGAAGGAGCAGGACCTAGGTCTCCAGGCTCTGTTATAGAAAGCTTTGAAGCTGACCAGCCAAAGGAAGCCAATCCTCCTTCCCCCAGAACTGCCCACCCTACTCCCCTCCTCCCTACCCCTATCCCCACACTGCTGGGCCATGGCAGCCATGAGTGTGCCACATGGCCCTGTCCCACTGGCCACAGTTGATTGGCTGGCTCAAGAGTAGTCATCTGATCCAAGCTGGGCCAATCAGATTCTACCTCCAAGGAGTTTGGAATTAGAAAACAGTGACCCTAGTTAGTGTAGGCCACTTGAACTGAGGGCCCATATATTCAGGAGCCTTATGGGGCCATGTACACGTGAAAGCAGGAAGAATGAAGGAGGGAGAAGTAGAGGCCAGAAACTACCTGGGTTCCTTACTGTTTCCCAACGCTAAGTCCCTGCCACGTTCCTGCTCTTCCTGTGGTTTGGATCTTCAAAGGTTGCTCAAATTTGAGGCAGTGGCCTGGCAGCTTTTCAAATGCTTCCCATTTTTATTAAAGCTGAAAGACCCTTGACTAGGACAGACTCGGTCCTAAACAGAGAGCTAGATCTTCTATACCAGTTGTTCTCAAACAGTGTGGCCCAGGAATCCTGGGGGATCCCTGACTGTCCTTTCAGGGACTCTGCAGTGTCTAAACTATTTTCATAAGAGTCCTAAAAGATGATTTGCCTTTTTCACTCTCACGCTGTCATAGGCGTCCAATGGAGTCTTCCAGAGGCGACGTGACATGTGATGATGCTGTCACTATGTGTGTATTCTCTAGTTTAAAATTTGTTTTGTTTTTCTTTTAAATCTTTTTTATTGGGCCACCTCTTAAATCACAATAGGTGTAGAGAGACTCCCTTTTTAATTTCTAAAATGGCAAATATCATTCGTGATATGAATATTACTGGTTATAACCTGAATAACAGCCTTTGGGGGTTCTCAGTATAAGGAATTCCTGAGATCAAAAACATTGAGAACCACTGCTCTATGCCCTTGCTTGCTTTCTTTTTTTTTTTTTTTTTTTTTTTTTGAGACAGGGTCTTGCTCTGTTGTGCAGGCTGGAGTGCAGTGGCTCAATCTCGGGTCACTGCAACCTCTGTCTCCTGGGTTCAAGCGATTCTCCTACCTCAGCCTCTTAAGTGGCTGGGATTACAGGTGCGTGCCAGCTCACCTGGCTAATTTTTTGTATTTTTAGTAGGGACAGGGTTTTACTGTGTTAGCCAGGATGGTCTCAATCTCCTGACCTCATGATTCACCCGCCATGGTCTCCCAAAGTGCTGGGATTGCAGGTGTGAGCCACCGCACCCGGCCTGCACCCGTGCTATATAAAGTGTGGTCCTGACACCAGCAGCTCCAGCATCACTTGGGAGCTTATTAACAAGGCAGGAGTTCAGCCCCCACCCCATGGACATACTGCATCAGAATTTGTATTTTAACAAGATCCTCAGGTGCTCCATATGCACATAAAGTTTGAGAGGCACCTGAACACCATAGTACATAAATACTTCATGATTGACTGATAATTGATTTATTGCTAATACTCACATGGATGACTCACAAGAATCTCATGAATTTTAAAGAGCTTTGACTTCTCGGGCTGAAGTTACCATAGACACAATCATTAATTGTTGGGCTTCCCTCACCGCTCAGAGAATACCCATTATCAAAGTTTCTAGAGTTATGCCCTTTGCTTGCATCCTCCTGATAATATCTAGGCAGTATGAAGCACTCAAAACTTACTGATGAAGAAACTAAGGCCCAGGGTACTTATACAATTTGGCCGCCATCACAGAGGTTACCTAATTCACCCAGCGGGTAGTAAGTGGTGGAGCTGGGATTTGAATTCGCAGGGTCTAAGTTCAAATAAAGCGGAGCCTATTCTGTAGCTACCTTAGCCCTGGCCTCCTCAGTGAGCACACAAAGCACCTGGGGGCTTGTCAAAGTGCAGACTCTAATTCTAATTAGTCTAGTGTGGAGTCCGGGCTTCTGCATTCCTAACAAGCTCCCAGACGATATGAATGCTGCTATCCAGAGACCACACACAGAGGTGGCAAGACTGCCTCTAGGTTCTGACAAGAGAAATGGACATACTTGTTCTCCAGTGCCAGCAGTAGCTGGAATATACCACTTTAAAGGGTGGGCAATGAGCTGGGCACAGTGGCTCATGCCTGTAATCCCAACACTTTGGGAGACAGGGACAAGAGGATCACGTGAGGCCAGGAGTTCCAGATCAGCCTGAGCAACAGAGTGAGACCCCCATCTCTAAAACATAATAATTATAAAAATAAAGGGCGGGCAAAACAGCTGAACTGAGGCTGTGAGTGCAGCAGCTTCACACACTGCAGCACAGAGGCTTGCCCACAGCCTTCTGGGTCTTTCCATGGCTCCCCCCATGGGTAACATGTCCACAATGTCAGTGTACAACATGGAGCCATTCAGCTGCTGCTTGGCCAGTATCTGGTGGGCCCAGAGCCACTCTAGGCTCCATCCAGCTCCCTCACTGTGTCCGGGTCTCTCTCACCTCCCCTACAACTGAAATATGACTTTTCTTTCTCTTTTCCATCATTCAGTCATTCATTCAACAAGCTAATCATTGGCTATATGCTGGGCCCTGGGCCAGGCATGAACTCAGAGGAGAAAGCACAGACCTGTGTTCAAATCTTAGCATCTTCCTTACTAAGCTGAGTGACCTTGAACAAATTGCTTAACCCCCTGGGAATAATAGACTGACTTGTGGAAATGGAAGAAGTTCTGACCAATAGAAATACAATGTGAGCCACACTCATCATTTTAAAATTTCCAGCAGCACATTTTTTTAAAAAAGAGATAGGTGCAAATAATTTTTAATAATATATTTTATTTAACAATATATCCAAAACATGATCGTTTTATAATTTAATCAAAATAAAAATTAATTATGAGATGTTCTGCATTCCTTTTTCATACTAAGTCTTCAAAATTTCATGTGTATTTTACATTTACAGCACATCTCCATTAGGACTAGTCACATTTTGAGGACTCAGTAGCCACATGTGGCCAGCAGCTGCCATAATGCACAGTGCAGAAATAGAGAAGGTAATCTAAAGCACCTGGCACAAAGGCATCACTCTATGTGGTAGCTCTTGATGTACAGAGCCCATCACATTGCCTGGTTTACAGGAAGGACACAGTACATACACACGGTTGCAGCGACTGTTGCTGTTTTCACAGACACCAATTCATATCCACTGACTGCAAGCTCAATCTTCCAAATGTAGAGTGGGGAGAAGGTGTGAAGAGGACAATTTCCCACACTCGAGTCAGTTTAGTTGGGGTGAGAGAAGGAAAGGAAGTGGGTCTGGACATGCACAGCTCTTTGGGAGTTCACAAAAGGCCCAGGAAGTCCAAGCTCAAAAGTCTCCTTTAATAATGGATTTCGATTTTCTTTTTAATACCCTCTCCTCCATGAATGGGTCTAGGCCAGTTTAGCAATGGCTGCAAAAATCATTAAGTAAAAACTTGATGAGGAACTGTATAAGGGAGAGATCAGGCTGACAACACTCAAATCTACTCATCAACTACTGAAACACCACTCAAAGCAGAACTGGACAGGATATGCCCCGGATGTGATACGAGAAGAACCTATCACCGCCTAGGAAGGATTTTTGCCTCCCCACAAGAAATATCTGTACACACATACACAAACACACACACACAAACACACAAACACAAACACACAGACATACACAAACACACACATACACACACAAACACACATACACAAACACACACACAAACACACACATACACATACACACAAACACACACAAACACAAACACACAGACATACACAAACACACACACATACACACATACACACACAAACACATACACACACACACACAAAAATACACATACACAAACACACACACACATAAACACACACACAAACACACACACACCTTGAATCTAAGCAAGTTTCTAATCAAACTACCAGTTTTCTGGAAACACAGAGGATGGAGAAGACATTAAACACCACCCTCCCACCACTTCTAGAATGTGAGAAGTTCCACAAGACGAACAACCCAAATTCTTCAACAAATTAACGGCATGGAGAAAAAAAATGTGTGTGGTGGGGTGCAATACAGAAGAGAATACAGAAGAGGTATGCTGTGGAATCCAAGAGACTTAAGTTTCAAACAAACCAACTATAAAATGCCATTTTTTGACAAAGGGGGAAATGATAAGGGACTAGATAGTAGGTATTATAACTATTATTTTATTGAGTATGATAATGATATCTGTTAGAGATACACACTGAGATATGTGCCAGTTAAATGATAAGATGTCTAGAACTTGTTTTCAAATACTCCAGAAAAAAAATCAAACATAAATCAACGAAAAGTAGGAGAAAAGAAGAGACGAGCCAAGATAGCCGAAATCTTGCTAAGTGACGAGGCTGGTCCCAGCTGTCCCAGAGGTGCACCATCAGAGAGCTGCCCGTCCAGCCCCTGCGCAGGCTGCACAGCCCCACACGGCAACAGGCTGGGCATCTCAGCTCAGTGTGCGCAGCGCTGGCCCACGTGCAGCGGCCGCCTGGGAACTTGCTTCTAATACAGTATAAAGCCCTGCCCCAGAGCTCCTAAAGCAGAATTTCTGAGTGGGGTCCTGGGAATCTGCATTCAGTAAGCTCTCTCGGTGACACTAATGTCTGCTGAGGCATGAGAACCATGAGAGTGGAGAGCCCTGCCATGATGATCGTTGGCCGCAAACCCACAGAACGCCCAGGACTAAGTGCTTATCCATGGGAGGGGTAAGAGTCCCGCCAAGAGCCTGAAGGGGTGAGATCCTCAAGCCTGAGAGTTAATTCTCCAGGTGGACAGCAGCAGTTTACTTCTGGAGGTCCCCCCCACCTGGTTATTGTCACATGCCCTTGCAGACCCCTGACGGCCACCACAGAAAGCCCCTTCGGGCGTGAACTCTAGATTCAACCTGAATGCCTGGAAGTGCCTGACCAGTCTCTTGTTTTTATTCCTTCCACCTCGGTTTCCCCTCTGCCCTTCCGCAGGCTCTGGCTTTTTTCTTGTCCCATCCCAGGACCCCTGGGATGGTCTCAAGCCCCCAGAGCTCATGCTAAACACACTGGGAGCCACCAGCTGCAGTCCCCTGCTACCCCAGGAAACTTCTACTCTGCCTAGTGAAGCATAACCCAAAAGCAGGTATCCTGACTCTATCATTCTAGGGTAGCACCAGGGACAAGGCAGGAAATGTCCAGCCTTCTTTAGTAACCAAGCAGTGGTGACAACAGGCACATTCTCCTCATCTTCCACCCTCACCCTGATCCCACCCTTCAGCCCTCCCCAGACCTCAGCACCCACTCAGGGCACCCCGCCTGCCTCCTCTCCTCCCTCTTGGGATCAGAGCTGTTGTGGAGTTTTCTTCTTTGAGCGTTCTCCATGTCAGACCATGGCCATGATCTCCATCCAGCTGCAGTGGAGATCAGTATTTGGCCGGGCACCCCAGCCTCCCTCACCTCTTTCCTCGCTCGTGTCATCCCCAACTTACCCGTCCTCTAGTCCTGTTCTTTCGCTTGGGAATATCCTCTTCCAAATCCTCTTCTTCATTCCCTTCTTCTACATTTTCATCATTTTCCAAAACCCTCTGAAATGGAAAAAAAAAAATGGAAAAGGTGAGAAGCAGAATGCAAAGGGAAAAACCATCAGAGGGTAATTTTCAGAGTGTTCCGATTTGTTGTTATTTTTTTAACAAAGTGAAGACACTGCCTTTGCTTGGGCAGTTGGGCCTCCAAAATGCTGCCTGGAGTTTGAACTCTTGGCACTACCAAGGCTTTCCTAAGTCCTTGGGCCCCTTCCAGACGAGTCCTCCCAGAACACGGACCTTTTTCTATTCTTTTTGCCCAAGAAGAGTTTTCTAACAAGAGACTATGCTGGTAGGGGCCCTTTTCTATGTGGGGCCAAAATGTTTTATCAAAACTTACTTTTGTAAATGTAATGTTTCTTTTTGTTCCCAAAGGGCCACCTCAGAAATATGAAAATGTTTCTTCTTTCCCTGCCATTCTGGAACCCTGCCCTGTCTGATGAAAACAAGTAACTTCCTGTTCATCTGACCAGATTTAACACCAATGTGCTGTTCATAATAAACCACTGCTTTTTTTTCCTAGAAAAATAGACTTTTATTTAGTACCCGACTTGTCATGGAGCTTAAAGATCAAGAATTTGAAATTATCTCTCTCCAGCAGCCTGCCAGCCACACTGCAACATAGAATCCAGTTTCCATTTTGCAGGTGAATACGCTGAGGCCGAAAACAGTTTTGAGTGCTCCAGATTATCCAGTGAAGCCATGACCAAAGCAAGGTCAGGTTCATCGGCTCAGCGTTTCCCATTCATTTCTCAGTACGGTGGCTGACAATTCCAAGATGTAATCTGGCATACTCTCCTTGTAGGGGCCTAAGCACATCCCTCCCTTCAGAGGAGAGGAGGAGGTAGGATGTGTTCCTCTGGGTTTAAGGGAGGGATAAAAGACTGTGGCAGAGGACCCAGCCCCACAGTGGGAGTAGGAAAAGAGGGAAAGGGCATGGAGCTCACTGAGCTCCATGTCAGCGGGCCCAGAGGGTTTTTTGATTTTTTGGGGGTTTTTTTTGGTTTTTTTTTTTTTTTTTTGAGACAGGGACTCACTCTACTGGCCCGGCTGGAGTGCAGTGGCACAATCGTGGCTCAATGCAGCCTCAACCTCCCAGGCCCAAGCAATCCTCCCACCTTGGCCTCCCAAGTAGCTGGGACTGCAGGCACATGCCACCATGCCTGGCTTTTTTTATAGAGATGGGGGGTCTCACTATGTTGCCCAGGCTGATCTCGAACACCTGGACTCAAGTGATCCTCCCACCCCAGCCTCCCAAAGTGCTAGGATCACAGGCATACCATGCAGGTGAGCTACCACACCTGGCCACCCGGGGGATTCTTTATGGGCTCACTGTGTGATCTAGGGCAAGTCATCATCTCTTCATGCCTCAGTTTCCCCAATTATACAATAGGAATTCATTCATTCTATCTAAAGCATTTATCTAGTGCTGACTACATGGCAGGCTCCATGCTAGGTAAGCTACAAAATGGCTACAGTCCCAGCCCCAAATGGACTTTCCAGTCTAGGGAAGAGAGGACAGATTTAAATAATGTGCATATATTATCATATAATTACAACTCTTCTCAAAACAGTGGTAGGCAAGTTCAAAGTGCTATGAGACGGTGTTAGGAGGGAGTTTTCCCTAATCTGAGGGCCAGGGGAGGCCTACATGAGGACATGAGCTGAGAGAGTTGAGATGTGGAGGATGAGCAAAGGCTGGCCTTGTGAATGAGGACAGAGGGGAGGGAGGGAAAAGGGTCTAGGCAGAGGAAACAGCATAAGCAAACCCCCTGAGGCAGGCGGAGGAGCGTGGCTTGTCCAGGGAGCAGAAAGGCCAGTGTGACCAGTGCTCAGTGGCTCAAGAAGAGATGGCATAAGATGGAGCTAGTAAGGGGAACAGCTACCATATTACACAGGGTAACCCCATCTTCTCTTCCTTGTAGTGATGTCAAAGATCACAAACATGGTGAGAAGGCTGAGAGAGCAGCACGCACTACACCGTCGTCATAACCATCGCTGTTTAAGCCGCCTGCTGGATGACACCTCTGGCCTGTCCTCAAAGCAGGGAGCCCAGAGGTGAGCCACCAGGCAGCGATCTTCTGCCACTCTCCCCTGGCTAGAATGTTCTGCTCGAAATCACTGGAATCAGGACACTTCTAGTCAGTCAATCCATCCAAATAACTCAAAACAGGTCTAGTAAATTCTTCTTTGACTTCTCTACTAAGTTTATTTGGGAAGCCACCAGCTGACAGCATTTAACTGGTCTCTGGGCCAGCCTTAACCATCTAACAGAGAAAGAGCATTGTCTGCCGGACATGACCTCTGGCCCACAACTAGGAAATGTCAGCCCCCATTCACAGTATAAGTCTCTTGAGTTCCTGACCTGGAGGCAGGAACACTAACAAAAGCCGACCCAGAGAGTGACAGGTCGAATGCTCTGCAGCCTCTGGGGCAAAGACACAGTATAAATATAAGGTCTGGTTATGACCGTTGTTGCTGTTCATAGAACCATCTTGCAAACTTTCCAGGTCTTGAAGTCACTTAATCATGGTAAGTTCCAAGTGCCTCAAATTTAAAGGTCATTGCCTCTGGCATCTCGGTACAACTCCGACTCTCATTTTTCATTATAAGGGTATTTATTACCCGCAATATGGACTCTGGGTTGGAAGGTGAAAGACTGGTGGGGGCAGCTGAGCTAGTCCCCAGAGTGCCACACGGCCTCCGTGTCTGGGAGTAAACTGACTTCTCTTTTCCCTGAGGCTCCATCCTCCCTCTGCCATCAGCTTCCCTGTGACTCTAAAGTCTGTGTCTACGCCCCAGGCCTCAGATGTGATGGCGGCAGACCCAGTGTGTCTGCATTTCCTGCGATGCGGCCCTGTCACCAGAAGCCTCTCGACAGAATTCAGGAGGAGCCAGGAGTTTCTAACAAACAAAGCTTGTTTCAGAGCTCAGGAAGCGGAGGGGCAGTCCTGTATCAGGAGTCGGGGACGGGGGCGGGGTGTCCAACTACAAAGTCAGCTGACCCCCCCAGTAACAGACATGCATTCCTTGTCCAAGGACATTATCTGGAAAATAAACACATTTTAAAATAACTTTTCTCCCTGTTACTCTAAACAGTCTTTATGGTGATAACAGTGGTTTGTGGTTGTGTTTAAAAAAAAAAAAAAAAAATCCTTTTTAAAGACTACATTATCTCTGGCCTGGAATACTGCAAAAATCTCCTGATTTCCCCCCTTCCATTGCTGGCCCTGCATCCAATCTCTTCTCCACGCAGCAGGCACCAGGATCTTTATGAAATATAAATTCACAGCCCTCATCAAAATCTTCCAAATGGCTTCCTTCTTTATATCACATGGAACCAAAAGCCACTTCCCTGTCCTGTGGGAACTGGGTGGTCTGGTCTCGGCTCACCTGTCGAAGTCCTGGGCTCTTTTCTCCCTGGCACAATACTCCAGCCACACAGGTCTTCTGTTCTTTCAACAAAACCAGCTCTGGCCTGTCTTGGGGCCAACACACCCACTGCTTCTCTGCCCAGAAAGCTCTTCCCCAGGACCATCACTTTCCTGACTCTTCTCATCCCATAGGGTTGAGGTTAAACCCCTCAACTCAACCAGGCATGGTGGCTTACACCTGTAATCCCAGAACTTTGGGAGGCCGAGGCGGGCGGATCAGGAGGTCAAGAGTTCGAGACCAGCCTGGCCAATATGGTGAAACCCCGTCTCTACTAAAAACACAAAAAATAGTTGGGCGTGGTGGTGGGCACCTGTAATCCCAGCTACTCAGGAGGCTGAGGCAGGAGAATTGTTTGAACCTGGGAGGTGGAGCCTGCAGTCAGCTGAGATCACGCCATTGCTCTCCAGCCTGGGTGACAGGGCGAGACTCTGTCTCAAAAAAAAAAAATCCTCATCTTCCTCAGGAACTCTACTCTGATACTGAATCTTCATACTGTTTGTTCTCATGGATTTTATCCTAAAATGCAATTATTTTACTTGTATTCCTTGTTTCCTGCCTGTGTGTCACATTAGAATATGAGTGGAGTGGACAGGTCTCTCTTGGTCTCTGTGTCCCTAGCACCCAGCACAGAGGAATCCCTCATGAAACTTTGGTCAAATGAATGAATGAATGAAAAAGCATAATCCATTCTCTACATGTGTATTTTAATAATGCAAAGTCAATAAAAACACTAAACTCATTTGACTTCTGGTCCTGGCTTTGTCTTCTAGCACAGCAGACCCATGTGGTGCATGCAGCAGAGCTTCAGTTTACATCTGAGATGATGGTGGCGTGATGAAGACAATACAGCACCAGCCCAGTGCTGCATGAGAAGAACTCAAGCCCACCACCAGCTTTAAAGGGAAAGGGACCCGTGTCCCCAGAGCATCAAGGCTCTGGGCAATGGCTCTGCCCCATTCACTGATTCTGTCAAATTACATGAACTGAGCAAAAAAAATGCTCTAGCAAGTAACACACAGATGACAGACCTTGACTTCAAAATCTGAAAGTCACATACACACACACAAGGAAGAAAGCAGTAGGTGGCTTAAACACCAAAGGCAAGAAGAGATCCCTGTGGCTGGAGGGGAGATCAAGAAAGGCTTGATGGGGAAGGTGGCACTGGGGCTGAGCCTAAAAGATGACTGGGATTTGTACAGATGGAGATGGAAGAAAAGGCATGCCAGATAAAGGGCACAGCGGGACCAATGGCATGGAGGGAAGAAGCCAGAAGAACAAGGGGGGAAAGGAGTAGTGGAAAATAAGCCTGAAAACTAGGTTAGCAATGGAGAGGACAGGCCTGGGAAGGTCACGCTCATCGTTTTCGATTTATTTAGTGGGAAACAACAGTTTTTTAGCAGAGTTTTGCTCTAGAACAAAAGGTCAGCTAACAAAGTAGGACATGTCAGAGAGAGGAAGAACTGGGGACAGGGTGATTCCTGGAATCTGTTCCCTCATGCATCCATTCAACAGATATTTATGGTGCACCTGGCAAACACCAAGCACTGTTTGGGTGCTTGTGAGATATTAGGGAGCAAAACTGGCAACAGGTCCTGCCCTCAAGGAGTTTACATTCTACTGGAAGAAAATAGACATAAACAATAACATAATAAGTAAGTAAATTAGAAAGTACATCAGATGATGATAAGAGTGATGGAAAAGAACAAGAAAAGCAGAGTGGAAACGGGAGGCAGGGGCAGGCAGGGCAAGGGTGTGGGATGAAGTGCAGCGTGGTCAGGGACATCTCTGCAAAAAGAGGAAGGCCAGGCACTGTGGCTCACGCCTGTAATCCCAGCACTTCAGGAAGCCAAAGTGGGTGGATCACCTGCAGTCAGGAGTTTGAGACCAGCCTGGCCAACATGGTGAATCCCCATCTCTACTAGAATACAAAAATCAGTCAGATGTGGTGGCGGGCGCCTGTAATCCTAGCTACTCAGGAGGCTGACGCAGGAGAATCGTTTGAACCCAAGAAGCAGAGGTTGCAGTGAGCCGAGATTGCACCACTTCACTCCAGCCTGGGCAACAGAGCAAGACTCTGTCTCAAAAAAATCAATCAACCAATAAATAATAAAATATAAAACCTAAAAAATGAAGAAGGTGAGGGTGAGAGGCAAGTGGACGTCTAGGGAAATAGCCAGGGCAAAGGCCCAAGGGCTGGGGTAACCTGGCGTGTTCTGGGAGGAGCAGAAGGAGATCCTTGTGTCTGGAGTGGAGCGGGTGAGGAAAAGAGGAAGAATGGAGTCAGAGAGTGGGGAGAAGGCCCTGAATTTCACTCTCTGACAGCAGGGGCGGTAGCGGGTTCTGAGCACAGGAATGATAGGAATAGACTTAAATTTTAAAAAGCTTCCTCTCCTGTGATGTATCTAGACAACAGAACACTATTCAGCATTAAAAAGAAATGAGCTATCTGGCCATGAAAAGACATGAAGGAACCTTAAATGAATGTTAGTAAGTCAGAGAAGCCAATCTGAAAAGGCGACATACTGTGAGTCCAAGCATATGACATCCTGGAAGAGGCAAAACTATGGAGATGGGGAAATGGCCAGTGGTTGCCAGGCATTAGGATGGAGGGAGGGATGAACAGGTGGAGCTCAGAGGATTTTTTGGGCAATGAAACTTCTGTATGATACCCTTAGAGTGGACAGATGCCATTACACATTTGTTCAAACCCATAGAATGCACAACGCCAAGAGTGAACCGTCATGCAGACTTCGGATGCTGGGTGATACGATGAGGCAGTGCAGCTCACCTATTATAGCAAATGTGCCACTCTAGTGCAGGATGTTGATTATGGGGGAGGCTATACCAGGGGTATATGGGAAATCTCTGTACCTTCCTCTTCATTTTGCTGTGAACCTAAAATTGCTATTAAAAAATATTTTTTTTAAAGACTGCCTCTCAAGCATTAGCAGGGAGATCACTGAGAAGGCAACCACAGCAGTCCACACAAAAGATGACAGCAGCTTGGGCCAGGGTAGCAATGGTGGGTGTGGGGAGGGGGGATGTGGGAGAACTGGGCTTATGTTGAAGGCACAGTCACCAGGGCTCCTGATGAGCAGGATGTCAGGTGTGAGAGACAAGCAGGAGTCAAAGATGACTCCAAGGTCCCTTAGACAAATAAAGGTGACAGTTAATGAGGATCTTCAGCTGCAGCTCATGGAAAGGAAAGGAAGGAACAAACACAAGTCATGTTGTGGCAACTCAATGGAAAAGATTTGACAATTCATCTTAACACAGGAATGGCAGAGAAGGCCAAATTCTGTGATTCATTCAATGCCTTTATCAAGACTCAACTCTATCCAGCTTGGGAAAGGCCCTGGGGACACAGTAGTGAGCATGACAGCATCGCCCCTGGCTTGATGGAACTTACCAAGCCAACTAGCAATGTATTATTCCATTATTATTCACTTAATTGTAGTTTCAATAAATTAATATATAAATTAATAAATTTATTGAATATGAAATATACACAATAGGTATAGCATAAAATATAAACATTTAATATGGAATATAAATTAAATAGAAATACAATTTAATTTTAATAATTTAATATTTAACTACCAATGCTGTTACTGCATAATAGGATTAATTCATATTACAATACTCCATGGCAAACATTGTATTAGACAATGAGAATTCCAGACAAATAACAAATAAGAAATGGTAGGTGTGAAGTCGGGTGCAGTGACTCATGCCTGTAATCCCAGCACTTTGGGAGGCTGAGGCAGGCAATCGCTTGAGGTCAGGAGTTCGAGGCCAGCCTGGCCAATATGGTGAAACCCCATCTCTACTGAAAATACAAAAAGCAGCCAGATGGTGGCACATGCCTGTAATCCCAGCTACTCGGGAGGCTGAGACACAAGAATCGCTTGAACCTGGGAGGCAGAGGTTGCAGTGAGCCAAGATGGAGATCGTGCCACTGCACTCTAGCCTGGGCGACAGAGCAAGACTCTGTCTCAAAAAAAAAAAGAAAAAGAGGTGGTAGGTGTGCACCATTATAATCCCATTCAGCGAGAGTTTTAGAAGTGGCATGGACAGAGGGTGGCAGACCAATGGGGACAGAGCAGCCATCCGCCTGAAGGGTGAAGACTGCATGGGCTTGAGGAATGGCTGGGTGCCGCTGGGAAAGGGAGTGTGCAGTCGTGGGGACCAGCGAGGCTGGGTGTGAGGGTGGGGGGCAGGCGAGCCGGAGTCACATGGCCCTAGCTGGAGCAGACACTCCCACATTTCAAGCCTAGATGAAGGACTCTTGGTTCCATGGGGACAAGGACTCAGACTGTTTTGTCCACCCTGTGTCTCTGGGACCCTGCACAGTCCCTGTGTTCACTAGGCTCAACAAATTCACTTTGAATAGATAGAAGAGAGGGAGGGGATCCGAGGTGAAGGCAATGAATGACTCCTTCAGAAGATAGGTTAAGTCAGAAAAGAATTTGGGAGCTTCCTGGCCACTATAGAAACGAGGCAGTCTGAGACTCAGCCCCGGCCCTTGATGGGAGGATCCGGAGCCAAGCCAGTGCTGGAGTTCTGGAAGCTCCATGGAGACAGGAACCCTCTGTGGGGTCCCCAGCAGATGCAGGGATACCTGTATTTCCTGGATGCTTTCCTCCTCCCTGGCATCCACCTTCTTCTCAACCCCCTCGCCGCGGAGCAAGGCTTCCAGCGTGGTGCTTTCTGAGGTGAACCCATCCTTCTTCAGGGGAAGCTCCACTTCTGAAACACAAAGATAGAAAGGCAGGTCAGGCCACTGGAAGCAGGCGGGGCAAGAGGGACAGTCCTGGAGGACACGCAGGGCCCAGGGCTCCTGAGGAGGACTCCTGGAGGGAGAGGAACACTGGGGCCCCGTCCAGTTTTTCCATCTCCATTTCATAATCCAGAGACAGATTCCGATCACGCCCACACCCCCAGAGGAAGCTGAGCCAGAGCAGAAAGCGTGTGGGGTGGATGTGAGCTCACACGGCCATACTTCTGCCTCTCCAGCCAGGACATCGGGCAAGGCAGGCGTCGGGAGCCTGGAGCCCTCACTACATCCACAAAGCGAGGATAACAACGCCCAACCCCACAGGTGGTTTTGTAAGCAGAAATGTGTTCAGTTGCGTTGAAGTATTTTGAAAACTCAAGCAATGCACAATGCTGTCAACCAAGTATGCTCATTCCCTCCTATCCCAGCTCTTGTCTGGCAACCCCATGACCCCCTCATGGCCATGCTGGCTGCCCAGCTCTGGCTTCCTCCATGAAAAGCTAGTTCAGCCTCAGAGAGGCTATTCTCATCAACCCAGGGGGAAACAAGAGCCTCAAAAGCCACGGGAAGAGAAGGAGCAAGGGCAAATGCCTCACAGGCCCTGGATGAGCAGAGTGGCCACTGCACGGCCACACACCACGACCTTTTTTTCTGAAGGTATCAGGAGTTTGATCAGCTACCTGGGGCTTGAGGTCACCAAGCCAGCAGAGAAGTGGCAACCCGAGCCAGCCCTGCCCAGAAGAGAGACCGTAGAGAAGCTGAACCCCTTCCTCCAGGTGTCCCAAGCTCCTGACCTGACAGAGGTTGGTGTGTTTCTTTTCTTTTCTTTCTTTGCTTCCTTCCTTTCTTTTCTTTCTTCCTTTCTCTTTTACAGACAGGGTCTTACTTTGTCACCCAGGCTGGAGTACAGTGGCACTATCATAGCTCACTGCAGCCTCAAACTTCTGGCCTCAAGCAATCCGTCTGCCACCCAGCCTCCCAAAGCACTGGGCTTACAAGCAGGAGCCACCATCCCCTGCTGTTTTTTCAATTAAACATACCAACCCTAAGGTACAGGTGATCATTCTGATTTACCACAAAATATTTCTTCAACCTCTCCTCTGATCCTGCACCTCATACCCCCACACTGCCACAATTTGATATGTGATCCCTACCATTGTGCCAGGTAAGCCAAGGGCACGAACTATGATGCAGTGGTGCCCTAGAAAACAGGAGAGATGAATGGCCCGCCCTTGTGGGGGTATTGAGAGTTTAGTGTAGGGACTATTTACAGAGATGGGGGGAGGAGATTAAGGGATCCAACAAGGTAAAGCACCCCAGGTGGGTTTGGGGCAGGGGTGAGGGTGGGGAGGAGCCATGACCACTGCTGCTATTTTTGGAGGGACAGAGGGAGAGTGCTTGCAAGAACCTAAAGACAGCACCATTAGCAGAGCCCCAGGACAGGAGCTGTGGCTTGCAGAGGCCAGGAACCAAGGGAAGGAACAGCCCAACCACTCTCTCCATCCATCCTGCATCAGCCTGCTGCATCCTCTCCCACACGCCAACCTTAAATGGAAGCAAGAGGGGAAGGGAGCCCCCTTCACACAGCCTACTGAGGTCCAAGCAGGGTGAAGACGGAAAAGCACGGATCTGCAGGGCAAATGGAAAGAGCAGCATCATCGAGCCTGCTCCACTGGGCTCTATCCCGACTCCAGCAGAACCCTACCTACACTTTCCATTTCCTCCACCAGAAACAGAGAGAGTCTGACCAATCTACGAGGAAGGGGCACGCGGGCATCTATTAAAACTGAACAAATGCATACCCGTGGGTGACCAGCCCCCAGAAAAAGAAGGTGGGAAGGAGAAACAGCATCTAAAATCTCTTGAGAGACAAAGTCTTTGGGATTTTTCTTACCTAAAAAGGAGAGCAAAGGATCCACTTCCCATCAAGGAGCGCTACCACAAAATCAACCACCTCTGGATCCATCTACTCATTCAACAAATATTTTCTGAGTACCTGCCATGTGACCACCACTGTGCTGGGACTAGGGATACAGGAGGCGAACCAAATAAAGACAGGCCCTGCCTTTAGGAGGCTTCCAATCCAAAGAGACAGGCACTAAATGCTAAATACAAAATCAAAATGCAATTACGAATTGTCTTAAGTGCTATGGAGGAAAACGACAGAATGAAATGTGAAAGAATAAACGTAGAGGGGTCTACCTTAGATCAGGGAGTCAGGGAAGGCCTGTGTGATGAAGCTACATTTAAGGTGAGTGTCAGAAAAACAGCCAACTGTCTGCTTTAATGAGTTCAGGGTGTGCGGCTCCACAGCCTGCTCTGGTGACATATTACTCCTTCTCCCAAGTCAGAAAAGTCTTCCAAATGTCTAATTTAAAGCAATTAGCATGTGTTGCCTCATGTCCTGTCCTCAGTCAAAAGAGAACAGCTGGCCACGATCCCTCAAACTTATAATAATCATATAAGTTGAAGTTTATATTTTAGTATCCCCCTTAGCCTTCGCAGCACTAAATAAATCCTATTTATTAGTGTTATTTCCCAGAATTGTACAGCATTTTAGAGCTAGAAAAGACCTTACAGATCATCTAATTCAATCATCTCATTTTGTAGACAAGTCACCCGAGACCCAGAGAAGTTAAGTAACCACCAAAAGCTACACAGCAGGAAGAGAATGCAGCTGAATGATCTTTCCGAGATGTCACTGAAATCATGACAAGGGACCCCACTCATTGTATTCTTATTAGTGGTTGACAGGCTCAGACTGAGCCTGACTGGGCTTTGGTACATCCATGTACATGCAGAGAGCTTGGAAAGCAGCAAACATTCAAAACTTAGCAGCTGTTACTGCTACATGTCAATCCCCACCACACCCAAGAGCACAGTTATTAACCCATTTTACAGATGAGAGCAGTGTTTCTTGTAGAGGCTGAGAACTTGCTTGATATCACACAGTTGGTAAGAGGCAAAGCCCAGCCTTGAACTCAGTCTGCCTCCAGACCCAGTCACCTAATTAGGCTGCATGGACTCCACCCTGTCTCTCTGTGGTCCTTCCTTGAAAAATCTTTGTCCAAACCTTTATGCATTTTCATTGCATTCTGAGACTCACTCCATAGTTTCCGTATTTCAGGATAAAAGGCAGATCTTTAGCTAAGGATGAGGGCAGTTTCGTGCCATGGTTTTGGGTTCTGCTCTATATGACCATCCCCATGCAATGTTCACCATTCTGCAACAGTATTTACCCACTATAGAATGTTCCATCAATAGTGAACTTCCCCCTCTTCCTTCTCCTGCTCCTCCTTCCTCCTCTGCTACATATGCCTCCATCCTGCTTTCCCATAACTGAATCTACTCTCTTGGTCCTCTTTAACCAAATTTTACCAGATAGGCACAGTAGAAGAATCAAGAGGGAAAACAGAACCAAATGGGAAAAGTGAAATAGAAAAAGCAAGAAGGGATCTCCAGTAGCATCGAGAGTCCAATCCCTTAAACAGGAAAGTGAAGCACAGAAAGATATAGAGATTCTCCCAGGGTCACAGAGACATTTAGTGGCATCATGCTTCCCTAATTACCACAATATTTGATTGGCTCCTATAGATTCTGCCTTCAGACAGCCCTGAAGTCAAACCCTAGCCTTGCCATGTATTAGTAAAGGGATCATGGGCTAGCTATGTAACCTAAGCCTCCATTTCCATATGTGTTAAATGGGTGTGGTCATAGTATCTATTTCACAGTGTTGGCGAATCAAACATGGTAATGTACTGCATAAAGAAACTCTAAAATAATCCACACAAAAAAACTAGTGTGATAAATAGGGTAGAAGATGAGGCTTATTAATTTTTGTTTTATTCTATTCAAAACTTAGATTCAAAATTAGATCATATATGTAAAGAATCCACAGCATTGTAAGTATCCTAAAAATGCTAGATGTAATTCCCGAAGTTTGAATAGTTTTTATTTCAATGTTACAGCTGCACTGTCCAACAGAAATGTAATACGGGCCACTTATGTAATTTTTAACTTACTAGTAGTCACATGCACAAAAAGGAAGAAAGTCAAGTGTCATTAATTTTAATAAGATATTTTATCTCATCTGGTATTTCTAAAACATTGCCATTCAACATGAAATCAATATAAAAATATGGATGCCAAATTTTACATTCTTTTATCTGCATTGTCTCCAAAGTCTGGTGGGTATTTTCCACTTAGAGCGTATCTCAATTCAGACTAGCCACATTTCAAGTGCTCCATAGCCACATGTGGCTACCAGCTACCACAATGGACAGTGCAGGTTTGCAGCATTAAAAGTAACATTGACTATGCCTTTGCTTCCAAAAAAATGGAAAGAATTTTACTGTGGTTCTTAATGTTGCGTACGTAATACCTGCTGAGTACCATTCCAAGAGAGTTCTAGCGGACCACTGCAAACCCTGGTTGCAAAGCATGATGGGTAAGGCCTGCAAGGTCTGAGTGAAAGGGTAGCCTTCCCTCCCTACAAACACACACAGGGTGCACTCTGCCTCCTGACCACAGGAGGTCCCGGAGTGAAGGGGAAAGAAAGGTAACAGGTTCAACCCCTTGCACAATGTATGTCCCAGACACACTTCTATTGAGCCCTTAGGGGTTTCATTTATTCAATTTTATTTGATTATGGCCCATCTGGATATAGGATTTAATATTTTTTTTAAAGTGTACTCATTTTGAACCTCACACAAATTTGGGGCTCACATCACCCGACAGGAGCCATTGAATCTTTAACATTAAAAGAAAATGGTCCAAAACACACACATAATTCATCTTTAAATTAGCCTGATTTTATACACATGGATATAAACCCATGGATCGTTACTCTCTCCACAGCGGCAGCAGCTGTCACCCAAGCCAGCCGCCTCCCTGGGCCCCCGTAAGCAGCTCTGCCTCTACTTCTAATTGGGAACAGAGATACTCCTTGGGTGACTTCCAGCACGATCCATCA